CCGTCTTCTCCTTCGCCCAGACCTCCCCACGAGAAATTGTGCGCTCGCGCATATCCGTCCCCGAGATCCAGCAACGAGCGCTGGCATTCGTGCCAGACGATCTTCTTTCCAACATACCTGAAGACAACAATGAGTACTCTCTCTTCCAGGGTTTCCAGGCCACGATACCCGATGAGCCAAGCACGATTAAGAAGCCTGGCAAGAAGCATAATGCGAGGGGCCAGCGGCTGATAGGGGGAGATTTGGAAGATGAACAAGATTCCAAGCTCCCGCCGTCGATGCAGAGACTCAAGAACCAGAAAAACAGCATGAGCCATCAGCTCGAAATGATGGGCGTTCGAAAGCGCATGTGCGTGGCGGAGATTCATGAGATTGACAACAAAATCTCGAACTTGAATACCATGCGCAAAATGGTGCTTGACCGCTTGGGTGGATTGGAGATGGAAGAGTCGGAGCTCGAGCAGGATCTTTTGGGCGTGGATAATGACATCGAGGACCTGCAAGAGGAATTGGACGACGCAGCGGCCCTTGCGCCAAAGGAAGACTCATCACGGCCTACGACTGCAGAGAGTGAGGCAGTGTCTGAGACATTCATGTCCGAGTCAATATACCAGAAGATGGGTTCGCCCAAAACGAAGGGCAGAGCCCGGAAACCAGTACGGCGGCAGTCGATGCGAGTACTGCACGAGCATCTAGAATCTGGGTCTAAGATCAAGGAGCTGCCAGCTCATGCCGACATAATCACGGCCATGGATTTTGATGCGCCTTGGGGAACATTGGTCACGGCATCACTGGACGATACAGTAAGAGTGTGGGACCTCGACGCCGGGCGGTGTATAGGAATGCTCGAGGGCCATCTCTCATCCGTGCGATGCTTACAAGTGGAAGACAGTATCGTTGCAACTGGCTCGATGGATGCAACCATTCGACTATGGGACTTGAGCAGAGCTGAATATGCGCCCCAGGACAATCGAGTCAACAAACGTGATGGCGAAGAGGAGGAGGAGGATGGTCTGGCTTTCGAGAACTCTGCAGATGCACCCCCAGCGCCTCCACCGACCATCATGCAGGATGTTCCCCTGTTCACACTAGAGTCGCATGTTGATGAGATCACTGCACTACATTTCAAGGGCGATACTTTGGTTTCCGGATCTGCAGACAAGACCTTGAGGCAGTGGGATCTGGTGAAAGGTCGATGTGTTCAGACTCTTGATGTACTGTGGGCAGCAGCACAAGCACAAGCAACAGCTACGACCCAAACAAGTAGCGAATGGCGACCCACTGGCCGAGTCATGGATGCGTCCGCCGATTTTGTTGGGGCTATTCAAGTCTTCGATGCTGCATTGGCGTGTGGTACTGCGGATGGTATGGTTAGGCTGTGGGATCTGCGAAGCGGGCAGGTGCATCGCAGTCTCGTCGGCCACACAGGACCCGTTACTGCGCTCCAGTTCGACGACGTGCATCTCGTCACTGGCAGCGCAGACAGGAGCATACGTGTAAGTTGATTGTCCTGCAATTTCACGTTCAAGCACTAACATAGTACAGATTTGGGACCTCCGGACTGGCTCCATACACGATGCATACGCCTACGACCACCCCGTGACCAGCATGATGTTTGATGCGCGCCGCATTGTGTCTGCAGCCGGTGAGAGTGTAGTTAAAGTGTATGATAAGACGGATGGCCGTCACTGGAGCTGTGGACCTGGCGTTGGTGCAGACGAGGACGACAATACCTCACATTCCATGATCGAGCGCGTCAGGATAAAAGACGGCTATCTTGTTGAAGGTCGCAAGGATGGTACCGTGGGTGTTTGGTCCTGCTAGCATGTCACGACATTGTATATACTGTGCGACAATACATAGGGCAGGATCTGGACGACAGCTTCGCACTGTGTACTACTACCCGCAAGCAATATCATCACAATATCCCCGCAGCTGAAGTGCAGCTTGGCCCTCCACTGTGGCTGGCTGAGTGACCGCCAAACGCACATTGCAGTGTTTATGTCTTTGCAGAACATGAGAACTGTGTCTATGAGCGCAGATACAGCCTGCGACGCAGTCGAAAATCTCTATTGTCACTAACTATATGGAACTGTGCGGATGCACGTTGTAAGCACCATCTAAGACTAGGGCCCGCCAAAGCTTGGTTGCGATCGCCGTCACACTGCACCCCTTGCCAGCTGGGATCCACTTTCCACTGGTGACGTACAGCTGAAGACAATCAACGATTCCCAACGTTCCGGGCTTGCAACACCGCCATCTACCTCCTGTACATTCGCTACCTCCGTTTCTCATGATATCGACCAGATAAATTGCCATTGTGCACAAAGATTGCGCAATTGGTGTACTCCTTAATCGCCGTCTCCCGCTCCGTCCAGCCACGAGGGCGCACCTCACATCCCGCGCAATGTTCCCACGGCAAGCGACATCACTGTCGCGCGTATATAACGTCACACCTAGAGCTTCTCTACTATGTAGAAGACTTCCCCGAACCTCAAATACTCCTTTCCGGACATCTTTCAGCAATGGAAGCCCCTCGACGGCATCGAAACGCGCACATTCGGCCGGCTCAGCTACCCTACCTTCGTCACAACTACACAAGAGCAAATCTGCAGTGAGACGGCTGCTCTCAACGAGCCCTCTACCGGCACCAAGGTCACGGATATTGCGTTATGCCTACCGAACGGTAGCCATACTGGGTACCTTCGTAGCCGTTACCGGTGGTTTCGTCGTCGCATTCTTCATCTACGATGCCACCACATATAACGAAGAGCCCATTGCTTCAGACATACCCGTCTCAGAACTAGCACTGACCCCAAGAAGAGGCGGTCCGAAGAACTTGCCTATCGCCGACCATTTCGTTGACGACGACGACTGTGCCGAGAACAAGAGCGTCAAGCACAAGCCAAAATTAGTCATTCTAGGTACCGGCTGGGGAAGTGTGGCATTGCTCAAGCAACTGAACCCCAAGGACTACCACGTCGTCGTCATCTCGCCGTCCAACACCTTCCTCTTCACACCAATGTTGCCATCTGCAACCGTTGGCACACTCGAACTACGGTCGTTAGTCGAACCCGTAAGGAAGATTGTCAGGAGGGTCCATGGACATTTCTTAAAGGCAAAGGCCGAAGATGTGGACTTCTCGGAGAAGCTCATTGAGTGTTCGGCAATCGATGCCACCGGCAAAGAGCAGCGCTTCTATGTGCCGTACGACAAGTTGGTAGTTGGCGTCGGCTCAGTTACCAACCCGCACGGTGTGAAAGGCCTGGAGCACTGCCACTTTCTCAAAGACATTAGCGATGCTCGTTTGATCCGTAACGCGGTTGTCCGGAACCTTGAAAGCGCATGTCTGCCCACAACAACCGACGAGGAGCGACGGAGACTCCTGTCCTTTGTGGTCTGCGGTGGTGGTCCCACGGGTGTCGAATTCGCCGCTGAGCTCTTCGACATGCTGAACGAGGATCTTTGTAAAATCTTTCCCCGACTCTTGCGCAACGAGATCTCGGTCCACGTTATCCAATCAAGGAGTCACATTCTGAACACGTACGATGAGGCGCTTTCACAGTACGCTGAGCAGCGCTTTGCACACGACTCGATTGACATCCAGACAAATTCCCGCGTAAAAGAGGTACAGGCCGACAGAATCTTGTTCTCGACAAAGGATGATGAGAGCGGCAAGGTTGTCACAAAGGAGATCCCAATGGGCTTCTGCCTCTGGTCCACGGGTGTCGCACAAACCGACTTTTGCAAGCGTCTTGCCTCGAAGCTCGACGGCCAGAACAACAAGCACGCTCTCGAAACCGATACCCACCTTCGCCTGACTGGCGCGCCGCTTGGCGATGTCTACGCGATTGGCGACTGCGCCACGGTGCAAAACAACGTCTCGGACCACATTGTGAACTTCCTACGCACCACGGCCTGGGAGAAGGGCAAGGATCCCGAGCAGCTCCAAATCTCCTACAACGACTGGCGCGGCGTCGCAAGGCGCGTAAAGCAGCGCTTCCCCCAAGCCGCCAACCATCTGCGTCGTCTAGATAGACTTTTCGAACAGTATGATGCGGACAAATCTGGTACTCTCGACTTCGGCGAGCTTAGCGAGCTCCTCCATCAAATCGACAGCAAACTGACCTCCCTTCCGGCAACCGCTCAACGTGCCAACCAACAGGGTCAATACCTTGGACGTAAGTTCAACAAGATCGCGCAAGCAGCTCCAGGAATGGCGCTCAACGATGTGGACTACGGTGACATAGACGACGCCGTTTACAAGGCATTTGAGTACCACCACCTTGGTAGCCTGGCGTATGTGGGCAATGCTGCGATTTTCGATTACAACGGATACGGACTGAGCGGTGGCCTGTTGGCAGTGTATCTTTGGAGAGGCGTGTACTTTGCGCAGAGTGTTAGCTTCAGGACAAGGGCACTTTTGGCAATGGACTGGACCAAGCGCGCACTTTTTGGACGAGGTAAGTCACATGCGCAGTCAAAACTGCGAACTTCGAAATATTTGAAGATAGATGTGCTAATACGCGACAGATTTGATGAACTTCTAAACTGCAACTGGCTGCATAGCGTTCTTTTTATTTTTGAGCGGGCGGCATCGCATATACACCTGATAAGCCCTAGAACATTTTTCTTTCCTTCAATCTTCGCATGTAGACATCTTCAACGCTACCAAGTAGTCGCTGAACAATAGCGTAAATCCCTACCTTTTCAGCCCAGTCAAATCCGTTCAGCTCCATAGTTGTCTCCACTATATGCATATTCCCCGTCTAGCGAGGCGGCCAGACTTCAGCTACACAAACGTGCTTCAGCCCCACTACTAACCAACACCGCAGCTAACAAATACAATCACACACCTTACCTCTTGTCGGCATGGACTAACACAACAATCTCACCGCTTCGTCTGGCACATCTCATCAACGTATATATACTTAAATGTTTCGCGCTTACTCATCAAACAAAACACTTCATCCCAAGCCCCTCATTTGAGGGCGCATCTTCTCCGCTTGGTGTAGTTGGTTGTACGTTTCAAACCCTTAATCTTAGATATTCACTTCAGTCGCTAATAGCAATGCTTAGTATCACGTTCGACTGTAATGTTTACGACTGTAATCGAAAGGTCCCTAGTTCGATTCTGGGAGCGGAGATTGAGGACGGCTACGAGTGTTATCTTTTTTGGAGGGTTAAGGGGAGTTTGGAGGGTTAAGGGGAGTAAGAGGTAAGGGGATTCGGAGGGTTTGGAGGATGCGTGGGTTGATTGGAATTAGTGCTGTCTTGTTTTTTGCTGACTTACGAGTATGAAGGGCGAGAGAGATGGAAGCCCACATTGTCGGATACATGATGTGAGTAAAATCCAATAGCGTACGGTATTGATGGGCTTGGGAGATGTGATGAGCATTGTCTGGACTGACATGGTTAGGCAACTGAATGGTCTTGCTGCCCTAACACATCCAGAATTCAAAAAGCACTGCTTTTGTTCATGTTTCACGATCCACTGAGACAGAACTTCTTGTTGCGACGACATTGTGGGATGTGTATTTCTCGCAATGTGAAGGGGCTGTGCTTCTTGCATTGTGAAGACACTATGCGTCTTTTGTCACATATGAGACGAAGCGACGAGTATATATATATACCCAGCAGCGCACTCACTACACAAACCAATACCCCACACCGGTACCCAACAGCAACAACCATCGAAAATGATGACTGGGTCGACCAAGACACGCAAAGATTTTCAGACAAACGGGGAATGGATTGAGTACCCTTTTGCTCAACTAGCGAAAGAAGAGGAGGATTGGGAAGCCAATAAACCCGAGCCAACTCAGGCTATGGCCCGGGCCTGCACCCTGCGACTATTGTAAAAAACATTGGGCCCAAAACGCAGAGCATTCCGAAGAGTACCTGAATGGGGTGCGCAACGGTAAATCTGCATCTACTACACTTCCTGCCTGCATGTACCCTGAAAAATCTCGATTCTTCGAGGACTACATCTATGAAGCTAACCCGTCAAGCGATCCTTCTGCATGGCTAGACAATGAAATACATCCACTGTTTGGGCACTCAAACTGGCTTACGCCTGCAGCTTGTTCGATGGACGAAGTTCGCGATCAATTACAGCCAGCTCTTCAACTGGATTCAAAGCCCATAACCAACGACCGCACACTACTGTGGTTTGCTCATGTCCGGTTTTCTACTCGTTCCGAGCTGGACACTGGACTATCTCGTCTCACTAGGTCCGGAACAATCACGAGCGACATGATCGACATTGTCAAAAAGGATCTGCTAACACTAGCAGACAACTGCAGCACCGCATGTGTAGCTCTCCCACGCGGCCTTCACGGCCAAGCCAGCAAGACAGTGAGGAAACACACAGAGTCCATGCGAGCATTTGGTTTAAAGGGGGAACTCCGTACACGGATGCTCTTGTGGCTGATAGACAGATCTAGAGCTGCTAACTCAAACGCTAGGCGGGTGCGATCGTCAGATAGCCGAGATGATAGAACACCGCAGCCATAACCAGCCAGCGAGTGAGGTGGAGGACGAAAGTTCTCCCTACGTTCCTCACTGAGCAACCTCTCTAGCCCTGTGGAGGCGAAGGGAGTATGGTCCAGGCGTCCATCATTTATCCTGCTAGGAAGTGCTTGAATTTCCGTCTCCACAGATGATATCGCTTTATCCGACGGAATGGAAGTCACAAAATCTTGTGTGAACTGTCGATGCGCACACACGCTAACAGCTGTTTGTAAGAAATCTTAGGAGATTTTAAATTGAGATACTAATTAACTATCTCATCATTGATCATAAGCACTCCGTCAACTAGAATGTGATTTGTGTCCCCTTACCGTATCTAGGTACTTCTTCACTTGAGTGGCAGTGGTTACTCGTGATGCTGAACTGCAGGTGCCGATGTGCAGGTGAAGAAAGGAAGCTAGGAACGGCACCACTGCCGCAACCGAGTCACCAACCTCGGAGAAATAACAAGCTTGTTCCCGCGGCCACATCTGCACCAAACGCATTGACTTACCACTCAAACCTCCTGAGGCCTTTTCCTGTGACTGCACGGCTTGCGCCATACTGCTCTCGACGATGCGGCGCGACCCCTAACTGCCAAGCTTTACCCAAGCTCATGCGTTACAGATCCTCGGTTCCATCTTCCGCCGTCAGAACCGTCTCAGAACCTAGTTTCTCGGCGCCATCGCCCATCTCGGCACTCTCAACTCCACTTCATGGCGACATGTAACGTCTGTAGCGGCACGCCAGAGTTTCTCACTCGCGGAGAATCTTCCACGCCACCCGCTAGATACTCCGCTGTGAACGGTGCATAGCGACTAGTGACTCGTTCGTGTACGAGATGGCGCCTTCGGAGGCTGGAAGGCGGACGTGCCCTTGTTTTGAGGGCATGAAGCGGAGCCTGAGGATAATGAGCGGGGACTTTTGAGTTTCTGCAGGTGATGGACGAGTCAAGGGCAAAACAGATCGCGAGTATAAGAACGCATCAACAGACCTGCATATTAAGTTTCTCTTATCATCAAGCATCTTCATCGTTTCCTCATCTACTAAACATTCTTTCTTCTCCGGCTTGACGCTGTGATCTTCAATCTTTTTACTTTATTGTCTTCTATACACAGCTGCGCTGTTGCCAATCCTTCAACTTTCACATCACAGACATAACGTATAAACACTTCACCACCAACAACATCAACATGCATTTCCAGTCTTTCACCATCCTTTCCCTCGCCGCTCTCTCCGTTGCCCTCCCGGCTTCGCTGAAGACCCGCCAGGCTGGCGTCCTCCAGGCCACCACCTTCAACGACATCTCCATCGCCGGCGGTGTCGCTGGAGATGCCGAGGCTGAGGCTCTTGCGGCTTTCTCGGCACTCAACCTCGACGATCCCGCCAGCATCTCCGCAGCCGACCAGGACTTCCTGAACACCGTGAACCAGGTCGCCAACGACGCAGAGAAGGAGGCTTTCAACCCCGCGGTTGAGGCTGCTACGGGCGCTGAGGCTGAGGCTGCCCAGGTGAGCAATGCCATTTGATCTAAAGTGGAAATCGATGCTAACATGACTTAACAGGCCGGCAAGATAAAGAACAAGGTTCTCAAGCTCATGGCTACCGTCATCAAGCTCGAGGCGCAGCAAGCGCAGGGCGAGGACGTCGCTGCTAAGCTGGCGACCGAGCAGACCAAGTTGGACAACAACATTGCGACCGACAAGGCGAGCGCTGGACAGCCCAGCACTGCTGTGCCTTTCGAAGGAACGATCTCGGCTTAAGCGCGAATCAATCAGCTCGTGTAGAACGAGACAATCGCAACGAGCAGGGACGCGCAGGGCGCTGAGGGCTGTGTGCATGATCTGATGGCTGGGCCATGGTCGGAAAGAGAGAATGATGAGGTCTCTCGTACAGAGCCTTGAGATGAGGCCAGTATATAACTAGTTTATATTGACATACAAAACAATGGAATCAATGCTTGATGTCAATGCTGTTGCTTCTTCGCGTTCTTTGTGATTGCGAGCAGGTGGATTGTCAAAGCCTGAAGAAGGCTGACGTCGGAAAGCGCTTTATTGAGATATTACTCTCCTAGTTGATGCTCATCCGCTCCTCGAAGTTCTTGGGGTTTACTGAAATGTAACACCGCTTGGGCGGAGAAGTTGAAGGCGATCCTCGAAGCCCTCGAGTCATGCTACAAGTGTTGTAATTGCTCGTCTCGGTGTGCGCAGAGGCCTGTTGAGCTTAGAAATTAACAGATTTTCGAGCAGTGTGGATATGGAGGCCTCGACGATTCGTAGCTCCAAGGAAGATGGTGAGATGCAGCACTTATCGACGCTACCTAGGTAGGGGGTTCGACGTGACGGTGAGTGTGGCTGAACCTTAATCGTGCACCTCCGCCCGTTCGCCTCCTGTGCTTCGGCAGCATCAACACCACAATCATCAATATCTATTCTATTCCATTTCCATCAGCTATTCCTGAAACTGCCAATCAGTGCATTCTCGGTTGTTTTGGCCGTTACACCAAGCATAGCGTCTACATTCTTTTCGTTGAACTACCAGCAGTACAAGCAGGACACAGAGTATATTGCGGGCTGGCTTGCTGATCACGCGCAGAAGGCTGGTTACAATCGAAATGCTGAAACTCAGCAGCAGCCACAGAAACCCTCGATACGGCTTAAGGGCAAAGCAAGTAAGGAAGCTCGCGACGCCGCCGCCGGAAAGTCGGCGGCTGCAACATACCTCATCAATGTTGGCGAATTCATCCCAATGGCAGAAACAATCGCGAATAAGCAACCAAAGGCCGAATTTCCCAATGCGCTTAGCAGAATTTTCAGTCGTGCGATCAAGGCTCGTCAGAAGGCTGCAGAATGGTTCAAGGAGTCACACGAAAACACAATCTTTGAAGAGAGCAACCAGACACATGTTCACTTTATTGAGATCCTCGAACAGGCCGCCGCGATTCTTCGACCCCTAGTGAAAGACCCCCGATCCCAGAAACCGACACGAAAGGAGCGCCAGCAAAAGTCAACCCCAATCTCAACACAAGGTATCACAAACGTATTTTCCCGGCTTGCTGTTGAAGACACCGAAGTACTTGACGACACTGATGATCTACCCACCCATACAGCTTCTCCATATGACGAACCTCTGGATTCTCTTCCACCAGTAAATCCTGTTCACATACAACAAGACGAGGCGGAAATTGAAGCCGAGTTCTTCTTCGCCATTCAGTCATTCATCACCAATGCACATGAGATTCGTGACATTGTTCAAGAGACGTGGTTTGAGTACAAGGACGGGAAAGTGACTAGCATCAAAGCATCATTGATAGCAAACACAGCTATCGATCTGGTCCGCCATGCCGAGTCCGGGTTTGATCTTCTTCTCAAGCGACCAAAGAAATATCCCGCGAAGACGTTTCCAGTGTGTACGTCTAAGCCCTTGTGATCTTCTAGAGGGGTTCATGTACTGACAATTAATTCAACAGGGTCGCTGCCAGCTTTACTCTTCCTTCACCACCACCCAGGTTTTCTAGAGGTGGATGAAATTCAGGAATTCTGTTTGCCTTCTGGTATTATGATACCTAAAAGTCAAAATTGCTCGCATGTCTACTGGTGCCTCTGGCCTGTATACTCTGGGCTGAAGTACTATCTCG